GCGGTTGTTTACATTGTGGCTTTGGTCGTGGGCTGTATATGCAAAGGCTGTTTGCATGGGAGTGGCAGAAGAGAATCAGCTGAAAAGAACCTACTCTCTTACCAAAATGCATCCTGTGTTTTTCTTTTCAAATTTGGAAGCACGCCTTTATCCAGGCACCAAGAAAAGTTGTTCATAATACTTGGTATTTTCTAAAACAAGCAACCTGATCAGGGGTTGTAACTAGAGTTACGCCACAAAGCTATTACACTCTGTGTATTTTCATACCACTTGATGACATGTGCACTTCTCTTTGAAGAAGCTTGTTTCATTTGGACCCTAGGGGGAGAAATTGGTGTTCTTTCAGTCACTAATTTTTGCCAAAAGTGATCTGTGATGCCTCTTTTGGTCAGTATTTTCTCTGACCTTATTAACGATTTTTGAAATACAAGGCAAGGTATGCTGCACAAGTGCAGTGCAGGCTGGGTGGAGGCAAGTTGCCAGACTCGCCTCCCTCGGGTTTGGGTTGCAGCTGGCACTGTTCCGTGAGCATGTGTGAGTAGAAGTACTAAAGGCTTTCCTTCTTCCTTCTGATGTTCAAAAATCATGTGCACAGTCAAAATGTCTGGTTTTGCAGTCACAGAATCACAGAATGGTTTTGGTTGGAAAGGACCATCTAGTTCCAAAAGATCATCTAGTTCCAACCCCTGTGCCGTGGGCAGGGGCACCACACAGTAGACTATGTCGCCCAAGGCTCTGTCCAACCTGGCCATGTCCTTTCTGTCAATTTCTGCTTTGTTTAAGAAGGAAATAAAACATTAATGATAATTTTCAGAAAAGTGAATGAGTTGGTGTGAAACCAACACTGGTAAAATTACATCTTTTGTGAAGAACAGGTAAGTGCTAGTTGAAGATTGAATTTTACATTTGTGCAAACATTGAATATGAAATTTTTAATAACAATATTCTGAAACTTGTGTCTGTAACCTCTTTACATTGCTTTGAGCAAATGCAGTCCATATTATTTTCTTTTTTTTCTTTTTTAGTGAAGTTTTTAAGACATATAACGTTGCCATGGACTACATTACGGTGGCACTCATGATCTGGAACTTTGGTGTTGTGGGAATGATTTGTATTCATTGGAAGGGTCCCCTCCGGCTCCAGCAGGCGTATCTCATTATGATAAGTGCTCTCATGGCCTTGGTGTTCATTAAGTACCTTCCTGAATGGACTGCATGGCTTATCCTGGCTGTCATTTCAGTGTATGGTAAGGTCTGGGGCAAGGCATAGTAACAGGTATTATGGTGGGAATTTCTTCTATTCCCTGACTTTCCTGTTTGTCTGACTAGACCTTTAAAAAGGTAAAGGGGGGTGGGGGATAGTAGGAGGGTGTTGGTGTCATCCATAGCAGATAAGGTGATTACAGACTTCAGAAATAAGATCATGATCTAAACTGAGATTGGTCCCCTGCAGCTAAGGGCTTTGTGTGACTGTGTGATGCCAAGTTCCTTCATGTTTTCTGGACTTTCTGGACTCTTTGGGGAGGAGAATTGAACTAATTCAAGAAAGGAGGAGATAAGAGACTTATGTTGCCATTTTGTTCTCTTCTATAAAGGTGGAGAGCTTTTGGCTTCTCATTTTATCCAAGGATTTTTGGAAACTACTGTATGTTCAGAATTTAGGAGCTTGTTGGTTGTGTGCAGTCCTGTACAGATATAAATCTGCCCAACTTACAAATTGCTCAAATTTGTGGACATAAACAACACCCTGATCCGTGTCTAATAATATAATGAGAAGGAAGCAAGGAATGATTAAAAACAGTTTTAATTGCTCAAAGTCATTTCACATTTACAAGAACATGGCTATAAGATCTGTTTCCTTGAGGTTTTAAACTAAAAATACACTTGAATTATCACGTACTGGACTTTTTTAGAATAATGGCTGGTACTTAGATGTAGTTTTTTCATAAAGCTTTAGAGGGCAGTGGACACTTTGTAAGAAGATCACTCTGTATCCCAAATACTAATTTTGTTCCCAGACAAGGCTAAAATCCAGTTACTTAGACATAATTAAAACATTACAGCCATGAAGATGTGCTTGTAACTTAATTCTGTTTTGGAAACGTGTAAGTGTGATGAATGTGTACTCTGAAAGTCACTGATGGTGATAAAGACTGAGAATGTGTCAAGCTGTAGAAGTGCAGGGTTTAATAAAATTGGATTAGCTCTGGTAGGTCAATGTACTCCCCAGGTGTGCTCTGCTTTCAGAGGGAGGAAAAATGTCCCTCGTGTATGCTCACGGATCATAAGGCATAGAAAGAAAACCTTCCTATCCCCACTTCTACCTTTTGTATGACTGGAACAAATCTGAGTATTCCAAGCATTCATCCTTCATTCAGTGATTGCAAAACAAAATTACTCTTTAGGTCATATTCCATAATGTGGGTATTTTGAGTAGGAGATGGGGGGCAAGTTTCAAAGCCTGTGATCCCACACTGTCAGTGCCAGATTTGTTTCAAATGAATTTAAAGACATACAGTGAGTAGACAACTGCAAATGGTAGTAGCAAGATTAATATATGTGTTACAGATTTCTGATGAAATGTGCAAGACAAGGGAAGTGTAAGTGAGGTTGTTTGTGGAGTTGCAAATTTCATTAACAAACCATTGACATTCAGCTGAGAAAGCAAATGGAGCATCTGATAGATCAGTTTTTCTTAATGCTGTGCTTTGATCTGAGCTTTGATGAGTAACTTGTTTCAGTTACAGTCATCCAGTTAATTTGAAAACAGCCATCCTGTTTTGGAAATTACTGATTTTTTCAGTTAATTTTTCCTTGTTCACCTGGTTTCATATACTGTCCCACGAACAAGAATTGAGAGAAGTAACAAAAAGCTGCTATCTCTTTATTATGCTAAACATGCTTTGAACACCTCTTAAGTCTGCAAACAGAGCATTTTTCTGCAATGCTTAATAAACCTGCTTTTTTTCCTTTTCGTGTGCACATTCACTTTTTTATTCTGTAAGTGGGAATAACTTTACAGTCATGCCTACTTCTTAGAAGTTATGTGAGCCTCACCTGTTGTCTTAAAATTTGTTTCAGCATTGAACTTGGTTTAGGAAAAGCTTTGATAATAGAAGGCAAGCTTGGGTATTTCCAAGATGCTAGTTGAAAGCAAATAATTCACAAAAGTTACTATTCAACTTACAAGTCAACATACAGATACATTTACTGTTGTATATTATCTTAAGTGAGGAACATCACATGTTTTTTTAAGTATGTCTGCATTGATGTGAGATCTCTTCACTCTTCCTTTCAGATTTGGTTGCTGTCTTGTGTCCTAAAGGTCCTCTTCGCATGCTAGTTGAAACGGCTCAAGAGAGAAATGAAACTCTCTTCCCAGCACTTATTTACTCCTGTAAGTACATTTCTCACTCAGCTGAAGTGATTTGCTAATTTTTTCTGTTTTAACATGGTGCTTGTCAGCTGGAATTGTTAGTCTGTTCACTGGGGCCTCAGTTTTCTTTTCATTGTTGATTCAAAAGTGTGGAACATCTTCTGGTTAAGATCTCCCGAGATAAAAACCAGTATGGCTTGTTACAAAATATGAACAGGAAAAATGGTAATACATCTTGTTTTGGCCAAAGAAGTATGTCATTAAGCTGTGAATTAACCCTATTCAAAGGGATTATTTGTTTTCAGAAAATATTTATCAGCTTTAAGTGCTTAAACAACTTGTGTGGAAGGAAAGGGAGAAATTGCCAGGAAGAGATTTGTTTGCAGAACTCTTTTCTCCAAGGCTTGTCTTTTTTAACACATTGTTTCTCCCCTGCAGTTGTGGAAAATAGCCTGCGGAATGCAGTTTGCTGTTATCACCTGTGTAATTAGTACATAGCTCCACTGTTTCTGAATTACCCCATTAGAACTTTTTAGTTTTTACAGCTAACTGTTGCTAGTTCTAATCCTGTGGATAAACAGTGAAATAGGTTAATGGTCAGTCATTATGCTACTGGTGCTCCAGAAAGGCCTGTGTTTGGAAGCAGGAAGTGTGCTGTAGCGGGGCTGCTTCAGGGACAAGGTTATAGAGAATGGGGAGGGTTTTCTTCATCTGTCACTCTTACTGTGTTTTACCGACACTAATCATAGCTGTCTGTTCCGTTTTGTGGGAGGAGAGGTTAATGCTAAGAAACCACACAGCTAAATTAAAATACATGATTTCAGTGTGATGTTTCATTATCTCGAGATTGGAAAGTTCTTTGTGATGGTGGGGGCAGACAACTATTAAATTTGGTGCAGATACTGCCTCTAAGTTGAGGTACCTCAGTACCAGTCTTAATAGACCTTTTTACTTGCAGATAGAATAACTGATTAGTGGAAAAAAGTAATGAAGTTGTTGATTCAGGTTTTCAGAATGGGCCTCCTCGTATGCAGAAGTATTTTCTCTGGCAACAAATGTTGCCATTTTTCAACATCTAGTAGGAATAAGACTTTTATTTGGCAACTTCTCTAAATGCATGTTGTAGCTGGTAGTGGCTGTGTTCCCGGTATCACTGTGCTTTAATGAGAGTCAAATTGCCTGTTACAAAAGATAGTTGTATCAAAAAAAAAAAAGAAAAGAGAAAGAATGGATTGATGCCAGTATCTGATTAGCTGTGCTGGTGGATTTCTTTTTGTGTTGTTTTTCTTTTAATAGCAACAATGATATGGCTGGTGAACATGGCTGAGGAAGATCCAGAAGCCCAACGGAAAGCTTCCAAAAACTCTACTTACGATAAACAAGGTGAGTTTTACTTTGACAGGCCTTCAGAGTTGTCATTTTGTCGGAATGTGTGTTTATGGATATTAGGAGGTTAGCTTTTTAAGTGTTCTGATTGCTGTAGAAGAGTGAAAGCTTGGAGGCCTTATTGGGAATGATGAATCTGTCAAGACTTCAAAAATGGCTTGCTTATTGTGTCGTTAATGTTCTTGCATTCATTTTTCTGGGATCCAGGATGCTGGTGGTGAAATGACTGTCAACAGGCAACTATTGATGGAGCTCAATTGCTTGTCAAATTGGGATGATATAGCGTAATGCTAACTCATTTATATTTGTATTAAGCAGAAATGTGTCTAGCTCTCTTGGCTATGCAGCTAGTGTTTAAAAACACGGAGTTTATGTGTTTACATGTATTAGTAAAGCAGAGTTTCTGAATTTAACGTGTTTGAAGAGGTGTTATGTATCTGTAACTTTCACTAACATTTGCTATTTTACTGGAAAATTAAGCAGTCAGTGTTGGTTAAAGGAGCTAATAAAAGATGAGAGTTTACACCTTAAACTGTGATCTTTAAATTAGGTCACCACAGAACTTCCACTCTGTTATGTCAAAGTACTCCAGAATACTAGGACTTGAGTGTAACATGTAGATGCTGTGACTGCAGAGTGCACTTTGACTCCCAATTGTTTAAATAAGTATTAAAATCCTAAGTGAGAATGTCTTGTAATGGTGTGTGCCTATGTTAAATGTTGTTAAGTATTATGAAATAGCTCTTTTTTTCCTCGTTCATCTATATTCTTACATGTGGAGAAATTGTCATGTTAGAAGGCGCATTTTTGAAGGCAATCTTTAAATGCTTTTCTTCTTTTTAGCTCCTGCAAACCAGACTCGGAATGAAGATGCTGAAGCAGATGATGGTGGATTTAGTCAGGAATGGCAGCAACAAAGGGACAACAGAATAGGACCCATTGAATCAACGCCTGAATCTCGTGCTGCTGTTCAGGCTCTACCCAGTAACTCTCAAACAAGCGAAGACCCTGAAGAACGTGAGTATGAATTACTGTGCCCAAAAGGCCTAATAAATCTGAGGTTAGTCTTAGGTATCCTGGCTGCACAGATACAGTATGCTGTGAGCTAATAGCATCAACAAAGAGCTGATGTTGCTCATGATCAGTGCTGACATGCCTCATAGAAATATATGGAGTTGCTTTTTGGTAGCTGCAAGAGTGAGTAGAATTGACCAAATTGCTTTAAAAAGCACAAACCTTAAAAGCACAAGCTGCTTTCAGACCATTATACAGTCAGTTGCATTAGCTACTTTTCCATGCAGTGTTTTGCTGTCTACCATCTCGTTTGTATTTTAGGTCCTGTAAAAGCAGTCATTAACATCTTTTGCCTCAAGATTAAACTACTGTAATCCACTCTTAGAAAGCAATGTTTAAAACCTAATTGGAGACTGAAACGAATGCAGAATGCCAGGAGCTTGCTTATTTTTCTCCAGCATTTTCCTGAGGTGCACCTTCTTTGGAGAGCATATGACATCAATACTCAGATATCTGTTTTAACAGACTTGTGATTTCCATTTGCAGTTTAGCTGCTATTAGGTTTGCAAAGCTCTAAATCAGTCAGGGTCTGCCTGTCTGATAAACTACTCATCCCCATGTGATGCTCTATATGCTGCAGGTGCAACTGCCTCCTCTGATTCTCAGATGCTCCTTCATTTCGAAAATTGTTCTTAAAATAGAAATCTTTTTTTTTGTTGTTTTTTTTTTTTTTTTTAAATTTACTTTGTCCCAAAAATTCCAAATTCAGAGTGTGTTACAAATCCATTTTAATTTCTAGAGCTTAGAAAATTAACATTAAGATGCAAAAATTTTAGGATTTGGGCTATTTTAGTTAGTTAAGTAGTTAACTAAAACTCTTGTCTGGTCAGACTAATAATTTTCTCCCTCCTGTATTCCTACAGTGAATAGTAATGACAGATGTGCAGTGATCCAGACTTGTTAGCCAGCATTAGCTTACTAGAAGTTTGGAGCAGCGCATTCAAAATTTGGAGAGTTCACTTGTGTGGAAGGAGTTGCCTTTGCTTATTGTTCTGTCACACTGAAAGCAAGCATCCAAGTTTTGTTTCAGCAGTTTTGGGGTTGCCTTGTTTCTCCTCTATCATCCTCCCCAGCCCCTTTCTTTTTTGCATTGGTTTTTTTTTTTCCCCAGTGGTCAACCAGGCATATACCTCTTTTGATACTCTGAGTTCTTCTTAGAACTAAAGTGAGTTTTGGGCTGGACAGTAATCAGGTGACAAAGTAAACAATAGGCCAAATGAAAGCAGCTGGTGACCCAGTGTTGGCCTTTCTGACTTAATATTTTGGACTAAAAGCTCAAAGTGTACTGGTGTTCAGGAAATCTTCATTATTTTGTTTGCAGAAATGGTTGAGTGTTGTGTTCCCAGAGTTGTTGCTAAGGTTGGTAATTACTATTTAAAAGAATAACGCATTAACTCATGAGTTTCCCTAGACCTCACATCTTAGACTAAATATGTTGGGGTTTTGCCTTGGTGATATGTTCTGTAATCACACACAAGTGCTTTTTAGAACTACCTTAGTAAGAATTTTGTAGGAAGATTGGGAGGGCAGTGGAACGTTCTGCTGGATAAGGGTTTCTAACTGGCAAATAAAACACCATCTGCAAGGGGCTTATTTGTTTTCTTCCTCCCTCAGCCATCTTAAAGAAATTGTACTTCAGTATTCTGTTGAATATAGTATGACAACCAAAAGTGGACATCCCCCCAATAAATATTATTACAAAAATCTGTGTTCGTATATATTTCATCTCTATGTACAGGGGACTAGGAATATGGAAAAATTCTGATCATAGGATGAATTAATTGAGTGGTATAATGTTTCTAAGCCATCTTGTTTCACAAGAGTTTTTCTTTATCACTTGATTCAGGAGTGATGCTAGTTTTGAAAAGAAAATGTTCTTGATAGCAAGTCTTGTTAAAACTTAATGTAAATCTGTATTATTCTCTGACAATTACTGATATGTAATATTAGTATATTGTCTTGTACTTAATGCTGCTATGTATTCACTTTTGCAGGAGGAGTAAAGCTAGGTTTAGGAGACTTCATTTTCTACAGTGTTCTTGTTGGCAAAGCCTCCGCAACAGCAAGCGGCGACTGGAATACAACTTTAGCATGTTTTGTAGCCATATTAATTGTAAGTATGATGTAATATTATAATAGGCATAGTTTCTATTGTTCATCAGTGACAAAGTCATAACTGCTGCTATTTTTAATTTGGAATTCATTTATCTGATGTCCAGACTGCAAACTGATGGGGGCTTTAACTGTGATCTTCATTGGCTGTACATCTGTCACTTAAGCCTTTAGTTTAGGAAGGTATGAACTGTATGTTGTATTTCTGTGAGATTAATGTTTGTATATATAATCTTTTGCTTGTCAGAATTCCCTAATTTCTCCCTGTGTTTTTTGTTGTTTCTTTTTCTCCCCTCAGGGTTTGTGCCTTACACTTCTGCTTCTTGCCATCTTTAAGAAGGCCTTACCAGCTCTTCCAATCTCCATAACCTTTGGGCTAGTTTTTTACTTTGCTACAGATAACTTGGTGCAGCCCTTTATGGACCAGCTAGCATTCCATCAGTTTTATATCTAGCACACTCGATGCTGGTATGGACATTTGTAGCAAATCTGCAGGAGGAAAAATGTTTTTCCTTCAGTTCTCAAGTGAGACTGAAGCTTAATACTCAAGATTCCAAGCCTGAATCATTACAACTTCCTCCAGTGGCGTGGGTTTTTGTTGGTTTGTTTGGGTTTTTTTCCTGAGACAGCTGCTGCACTGGTCACCGTAAGAGTTTTCCTGTGTGCAAGTGGCTTCTTCCTGATGGCCGGTCTAAACCGGGTGCTATTATATCAGAAGTAATCTGATATATGTATATATCTCTGGTGAGGACCACTGCTCTGAGGATTGCTAATGCTTCCACCAGCAATGTGATCTCTTACCACAGGTTGATTATTTTCACAGCATTAAGGGTGCTCAGGACTTCCTTGGTGTTAACAGAGGAAGCTGACAAATCACATGGAACTTGTCCCTGTAACTGCTTGAAGAGAGAAAAAACCCTATTCAGACTTCTTCAGCAGCGATTTTTTGACAGTAGAGTCTTTGTGTAACGAGAAAGTACTTCATAGCAATTTGACAAAGTGAGAAAGGACTGTCACTCTAAGAGTGTTCCACCACTTCATAGCCTCTGTGCCTGAGTGTGCTTGGTTTATTAAATTTAAAAGCTTTTTTTTTTTTTTTTCTTCCCCACACTGGAACAAGACCCTCTTCTCAGTTTTAATACTTTGGATCCTCAAGCATGGAGTGCACCTTCTGTACACCTGCTCCAGTTTATGTAGCTAGTTAGACTTGGACTGAATTATTTGGCATTAGTGGATCATAAGATCCTAATTTGGATCTTAGATTCTAGAAGGTCAATAAACTACATTAAAAAGCAATTCCAGGACTTTTTCTCTGTGCTCTTGCAAACCATTTGGCTAGAACACCATTTCAAACCCTGTGCTTGAGAATAGTTAGTGACAGCATGGACTGCATTGTTGATGTATGTTCCTTCATTGAAATTCTTATGAAACAGGTAGACATCTGCAGCAATCCCAGATGGAGTTTAGCTCAGCAGATCTAGAGGCCAAAGTGCTATTAGTAGCACTTCCGATGCATCATTTGAATTTTTCCTCTTCAAAAATGTGATTTACAGTTCAGTTGACCTGAAGTATCGGTCACTCAACTGTCTAACACCTCAGGCTGGGCAGGGTTGGTTTTTTGGTTGTTTTTTGTTTTGTTTTTTTTCATGCAGTATCTATTGGTGAGGATACTTAAGTTGAGACATTACTTAATGTTACTGATAAGCAAAATTCATGACCACCTTCATTTAATTACCTCTCCTGTGAGGAACCTGGAGAAACAAAAGACAACTCAAAATCACTGAAAAGAAGATACATGATTTTGAACTTCTTACAAGAAAATGAGTTGATTCAAACCTTGAAGCTGCTGAACTCTGTTTTCTTCTTCATTTGGAAGAATTCATTTCTAAATAGTTGCTTGGAAATGAGTCTTGTGCGAGATGAAGATGTTTTTGCCATAGGTTCTTACTCTGTACAAGTAATTTCTTTTCTGAGGGAAGCATAGGGAGTGGGTACTATTGATGGGCATTCCGTTTTACTTGCATCTTGATACTAGAGTCCCTACCAAAGTAGAAAAACTGTCAAAATCCTGACAAGTTCCTTTTACCTTTTTTGGGGGCTTTGTTTCAGTGCCTGTAGATTCAAAGGACTGAGACATCAGAGATGCTCACCAACCATTGCCCAAATAAGGGAAGAAAGGCTATGATGTAATAATCTGCTTTAAGACCAGGAAAGGTTTGCTTTGATTGTCCTTGAAACATCTGTCTCTTCTAGTATGACTTGCTAACTGCAGTGTTAGCATTTACATTCTCATAAAATATATTGTCTTGTCTTCTCTAAAGTACTTCCATTCATTATCTATTTATTTCAGCCATGAAGTAAGTAAATAAATTCTATTTCAGCCAACATGGCTTCAGTAAGGGCGAGTCATGCCTGGCAAATTTGGTGGCCTTCTATGATGGTCCTACAGCATTAGTGGATAAGGGAAGAGCGACTGACATCATCTACCTTGACTTTTGCAAGGTATTTAACACCGTCCCACATGGCATTCTTACCTAAATTAGAGAGGCATGGTTTTGACCTGGTCGATAAGAAATTGGCTTGATGGTCACACTCAAAAGAGGTGTGGTCAATGGCTCACTGTCAAAGTGGAGACCAGTTGATGAATAGTGTTCCTCAGGGGTTAGCATTGGGACCCTGGGGTTGGAACTAAATGATGCTTAAGGTTCGTTCCAGCACCATTCTGTCATTCTATGATCTCATTTGTGTGCTCATGTGTTAAGGATAGCATTATTAAACCAACCATATCAAAACTGCTTACACTGACTTTTCAAGTCAAACTTGTGTTCTCTAGCTTAAATCACTGTTCCATTTTTGAAGCCTGACCCTAAAACAGGTTGTCTGTTCTGTTTGTTTTCTTACAAGACTTTTACATGTTTTTGTACTATTGTAACTTGTCCGTTTCCTGAGCATTATATCTAAGAAAATCCCTTGTGTGTTTTATTGGGCATCCTAACTATTGTTTTGTTGTGTAGAACAGGTTTGCTAAGAGATGGCATCACTAGCATCAGTTTGCATATCTGAGCCGACTCTCAGTTAAAAAGTTGTTACTTAAATGGCACAGTTATCTTTATTATTTGGGATTTTGGCTTAAATATGCACCATGGGAGCACTAGCTTTATGAAGAGTTGCTTTAGAATCTATGGAAATGCGCAAATGCCTTTCTACATACTTGAATGGGTGTTAGATGTACAACCCAAGCAAGAGCTCAGAATCTTCAAACACTAAATTGCCTGTCTTCCTCCCCCCAGAGCTGCTTCTGCTGTTCTGAAGTTTTGATTTCTGAGCTAGTGTGGAGTTACAGTGGTGGAGGCTGTAAAATTTATATTCACAGAAACTGTTCAAGTTTATGTATTTGATTGTCAAATCCAGAAGGGAAACTGCTTTTCAAGCCCAGACCAATATATGTTAAAATAAACTGTTTATTACCAAGTCTTACGTCCACTTTCAAAAACCAGATAAAATTTTCTAGATTTGCCCTCTTATACCAATTCGTGGTAGCTTATGTTCCAAATGAGATCTTGCAACTACAGATTATCTCAGTACTCAGGTCCCTGATGTTCAGTTGAGAATAGTTTTTGCTTGCATGTGGGTTGTTACCACATAAGCGTGAAGGTTGTGTCACTTTCCTCTTCTTTGTCTTAAAACACCAGTCTGAGATTGTGAACCATTTCAGCTTGGCTAGGTTGGTATAACTGAAGGATTTCAATATGTAGTCTGCATTTTTGAGAGTTTTTGTTGTTATTAAATTAGTATGTTAATGACAGCACATTAGACTGTAGCTCTGAAAGAACTATTGTGTAACCCTAGTAGCTAGATTCATCTCTTTTGTGCCCAAGCAGACTGACTGGTAACTGGTGTGTGACTGTTGCAGTGTTCATACTTTGAAACTGGGTATCGTAATAGCTTTCTTTCCCCTATCAGCTTACATCAGTGGTTTGGCTAAGCTTCAGATGAATAAATGAGGAAAAAATAATACCAAGTTACATACTTGCCTAAAACCTAGCCACTTTCATTTCTCCTATTTTTTTCCTGTTGAAGGATTAATCCAGAGCAAAAAAGAGAGATCCCTGGAAGCTGGTCTTAATAGAAATGTGTATGATGCCATCATATCTATGTATGGCTGTTATGGTGGCACTCAGATGTCATCTGTGTGAGGTGAGATTTGCAACACATACAGAATAGCTCTAACTGAGCAGATGATGACTTCTTTGAGCCAAATAACCAAGGGCTGTGCTCCACTAAAAATGTACAAAGCAGACCCTGACTATTTCAGGCATAGGAGACTGGTGCTTTTGGATATATAGATACGTATCTGTACCTGTAGACATGTAGATACATATGTACTCTGGGCCTGTAGATGAGAACTGTCCTGCCATTGGTGCACTCAAGAGTTAAATATGCAGAAGTACATTTTGAGTGGATGGCACTGTATGACAAAACTTCTCAAAATGCTTTATTTAAAAAGAAATTACTTTTGGCAATGATGCTGTTGAAATGAGTTTAATAGACTGTGGAACTGCAGTGTGATTGCATCTCAGTGGTAAGTTGGTCATTGGGAATGCTGAAACATTGAACTAGAATGGAATTCTACACTCAAAGCATTTGCTGTTTTCTTTTTTACAAACACTGGTTTGTACATAACCTGAATTGAATGTGAATGTTTTTTAAACATCTTTCCTGTTCTTGATAAGATATGTTTTTGATAGATTATTGCAGATTTTCCTGTATTTGTCTTAATTATTAAAATAAAAGTTGCATGGATCCTGACTTATCTTGCCTTTACTATATTATTTTAAAGCCATCACTTAAAGCTGTTGGAGGCCTAAACACTGTAGCTGTTTCAATTCAGCATTTAATGAGTAAGATTCTTGACTTAAGACGCTTAGGTACCTGCTTTATTTCCCAGCAGAAGAGCTTCAGGCAGATTTCTATAGCAGTACTTTCTTCTGAAAGCTATTTTTTGTGTTCATCTAAAGAGTGAGTCCAAGCCTGTTGTAGAAGCACCCGTAAGGTATAATTAAGGCATGAAAAAACAGTATGAGATTATACTGAAATAACAGGTGGCACAACGAAGATCAGTGTTACTGAGGAAAAAGTACATAGGATGTTCAGAAAGAAAACATGAACAGCAATACGTAGTGTTTACTTTGGTGTTGATTTCATATCAATACACTTAGAAAAGAGCTTTTCCCTGGAAGCACTTTTTGTCATTGTTTTGGAGAAGTACTCGCTGCAAAATTCAGGTTTGTCTGAATTAACTGATGGCTATTGAAGATACTTCTTTTGGGGACTGCCTTGTCTCTGGATGGAAGGCCTGCATGGAAGACCTAAGGAAAGGTCCATATTGACAAGTAGAAAGTCAAGCACAGGTTGTGGCAAGCCTACATGGATGAACAAGGAGCTCCTAACTGAACCCAAACAGGAAGTGTAGAAGTGGTGGAAGCAGGGACAGATGACCCAAAGGAGCAGGGAGTTGCTTTCTGATCTTGCAGGGATAGGGTCAGGAAACCTAAGGCCCCTCTGGAGTTGGATCTGGCAAGGGATATGAAGAGCAAGAAGAAAGGATGTTTTAACTATATAACAGCAAAAGTAAGCCAAGGGAAAACAGGTGTCCCCCCTGCTGCTGAACGAGGCAGGGGAACTTGTGACAGATTGCAAGGAGAAGGCTGGGGTACTTTTTGACAGGACTGGCCTTTAAGGAATCTCATATCCCTGAGACCAGAGGGAAGGTCTGGAACAAGGTAGACAACCTTGGTGGAAGAGGGCAGG